TCCTTCCCTTGAGGTTTTCAAGCAGAGGTTGGATGCCCACCAGCCAGGGCTTCTTCAGCTGCGATTCCTGCATTGCAGGAGGTTGGTCTGGATGACCTTCAGGGCCCCCTTGAGCTTTACAGCCCTATGATTCTGCGATCCCCAGCAATCGGGCATCTGAGGCAGCCTGGCTCTAAATATAGCCACCCGTGTGGGAAGCAGCCGAGCCCGTTGACAAAGGCCAGGGTGAGGGGACCGAGAAGGGGTGGGCGATGGTGGCCAGGCTTACCCTTTGCCGGCGGTGGGGGGGTTGTCGATGGGCATGGGGAGCGCATGTTTGCTTTCCCAAGGCCTGTGAGATGTTATGAGAGCTGACAGGGACCTCCTGTGGGAGAGGAGGGAGGGAGGCGGATGTTTCAAGAGGAAGCTGGTGGGCTGTATCATCCCCCGGGAGCTTGGCAGTCTCTGACAAGGACTCTGCCCAATTGTGCGGGTGAGCTGCGCTGCCTTTTTTTGCTCCTCTTCCTCCATTTAGGGAAAATCCTGGAGTGGAATCTGATGCTCACTAACCATGAGGCGATTATTTCTCACAACGCCATAATATTTGGGGCCAGGCTATTTTGGCACCTGAATAATTCATTGTTGTTCTTGTTGTTGTTTAGTGGTGTCCGCCTCTTCGTGACCCCCTGGACCAGAGCACGCCAGGCCCTCCTGTCTTCCACTGCCTCCCGCAGTTTGGTCAGACTCATGCTGGTAGCTTCGAGAACACTGTCCAACCATCTCGTCCTCTGTCCCCCCCTTCTCCTTGTGCCCTCCATCTTTCCCAGCATCAGTGTCTTTTCCAGGGAGTCTTCTCTTCTCAGGAGGTGGCCAAAGTCTTGGAGCCTCAGCTTCAGGATCTGTCCTTCCAGTGAGCACTCAGGGCTGATTTCCTTCAGAATGGATTGCGTTTGATCTTCTTGCAGTCCATGGGACTCTCAAGAGTCTCCTCCAGCACCAGAATTCAAAAGCATCCATTCTTTGGCGATCAGCCTTCTTTATGGTCCAGCTCTCACTTCCATACATCACTACTGGGAAAACCAGAGCTTTAACTATACGGACCTTTGTTGGCAAGGTGATGTCTCTGCTTTTTGAGAAGCTGTCTAGGTTTGTCATTGAAGAATTCATTACTATTGCTATTACCTGTTCATTACATCTGTGCCCTGCCTTTTTCTCCAGAGAGCTCAAGGTGGCGTAACATGGCTGCCTCCCTTATGCAACCCCAACAACCCCCCTGTGAGGTAGGTTATGCCGAGAGGCAGTGACTGGCCCCCCAGGTCAGCTTGTGAGCTTCATGGCTGAGTGGGGGATTTGAACCCAGGTCCTAGTCCAACACTCTGTCACTATGCCACGTGGGCAGCTCACCACATGGTTAACACAGCAGGGGGGCAGATTGGCTGGGGGTTCTCAAGTGGGAAGGAGACAGGGCATCGCTCGGTTCAAAAGGGCTTCCTGGTGGATTTTGCCAGATCTCAGAAACCCTCAGAAATGCCGCAAGTCGATCCCCTGAGGTGGCTGCAGTGGCCATTTATTTATATTTTTAAATTTTCATTTATTGAATTTATATATTGCCCTATACCTGGGGGTCTCAGGGCAGTCCACAGAATAAAATCAAGATATAAAACCACAAAATACATAGTGAAAATAAAAATTACAACCCAATAGCCCCTCTCCCCACAAAAACACGTTTTAAAAGGGCATAGGATGTCAGTCAAATGAACCAAAGGCCTGGTTAAAAAGGAGCGTTTTTGCCTGGCACCTGAAGGTGTATAAGGAAGGCACCAGGTGGGCTTCACTGGGTAGAGCATGCCACAGACAGGGAGCCACTGCAGAGAAGGCCCCGCTCTTGTGTTGCCACCCTCCGGACCTCTCAAGGAGGGGGCACATGAAAGAGGGCTTCAGAAGATGATCTCAGGGTCCGGGTAGGTTCATATGGAAAGAGACGGTCCTTGAGGTATTGTGGTCCTGAGTTCATCTGCAAGCAACCTCTTTGGTTTGGCACTTCCTCATTGGCACTTCTTCCTGCCTGCTCCAAAACATCACACCTGATGCGCTTCCTTGGAGGTTTTTAGGCAGAGGTTGGATGGCCACCTTTAGTTGAGATTCCTGCTTTGCAGGGGGTTGGACTAGATGATCCTTAGGGTCCCTTCCAAGTCTACAATGCTATGATTCTGTGATCTTCACAATCAAAGCCGAGTGGCTTTCTTCAGCCCACATCTCCCCTAGTTCTCTTCCCATGGAATCCTGACATTATTATTATTATTATTATTATTATATATTATTAATAATAATACCCCGCCCTCCCTGGCCAGAGCCGGGCTCAGGGCGGCTAACACCAATAAAATTACAGTAAAAAGATAATTAGGGGGGGAACCAATTTAAAATACAGGTTAAAATGCAATTTAAAATGCAGCCTCATTTTAAAAGTAGCCCATAGATCAAAAGCATAAGGGGAGGGAAACATAAGGGTCAGACCGAGTCCAAACCAAAGGCCAGGCGGAACAGCTCCGTCTTGCAGCCCCTGCGGAAAGACATCCCTGAGTTGCCCCAGCTCAGAACCTGAGCTTTCCTTTGCAAAGAAAACAACTTCTCTGCCCCCCATGAATGGACAGAGAGCGCCAGGGGGCAGGTTCACATGCCCCCTTAGCTCCAGCCAGATTCCCCTCTGTGGGTGTGTGTGTGTGTGTGTGTGTGTGTGTGTCACTGGGGGCTGCTTTCTCCATGCAACCCCCCCCCCAGTCCCTGACTGCCTTGAAAGCCACTTGCCTGCCAGTCCTCCAGGTGGGGGCTTCCGCCGCTGGGGTTTGTGTGGGGAGGGGGCTGCTCTGGGCAAGAAGGGAAGGGTGCCTTGCAAGCTGGGGCTGCAGCTGTCCTGCAGGCGGCGGAGGCAGCTGTGGAGCCTGACAGCTGTGCGGAAGGAAGGGAGGAAGGGAGGAAAGACGGAGAGACGTGGTCCTGGCCTTGGGCCAGCCCAGCGTGGGATGTGTCAGGACCAAGGCCTGGGAACAGGCGCCCAAGGGGGCACGATGCCCACAGCTCCTTCCTCGCCAGAGGTCGGCAGCCCAGCTGGGCATGCCCTGCGCAGGGGGGGGGCGGTGGCTGCAGGCATTCTTTTTAAAAAAATATTTTTTTATTAGGAATTTCAACATAATTTATCAAAAACACACCATCCTCATTCCTTCCCCATTTTTTCCCTCCCCCCAAAATACCCCCCCCCAGACTTCCCTCAGCTCCTCTCTCTGGTTTTTCAGCACATGTTATTCTCTGCATATTATAAAATTGTAAAGATCCTTCATTTATCTGTCTATATATTACCAATAAAAAGTTTGTGTATGTCTATTCAAAACCTGCCAAGGAGTCCAGTTCATTTTGTTGTTTCTTTAAGTACTTTGTAAAAGGTTCCCATTCTTCTTTCAAGTCACAGTTGTCCTTGTCACGTAGTTTGTGTGTCAATTCCGCCAATTCCGCCTCGTCCATCAGTTTCTCTTGCCACAGTGCTGGGGGCATTCTTGGACTCTGCCAGCCCTTGTTCACAGCTCTGGAACTCGGTGCGGAGAAAGGCAGCGCCACCAGGTCCTCTCCTCTGGTTCCAGCCCTCTGCCTCCCCACCAACACTCGGCTGGTCCTCATAGGTAGGAAATCCCCACGCTCCTGACGGATGCTGACGGAGGGTCACTGCAAAACCCTCCAGAGATCTTCCCTGGGCAGCTTGTTCCGCTGAGAAATCTGCTGACTGAAATCTTCGCCTTGCTTTCCCCCCCCCCCAAATTTTTTTTATTTGTTTTCCAAATTTATAGCAAAGAAATAAAACAAGAACATCAAAAACAAACAAACAAACAAACATTTATCTTAACTATAATAATTCCACTTTTGTTAACGTTGTTAAGTGACTTCCTCAAATCCCCTGGCTGAGTTTCCGTATAAATCATTGTAGCAGTTTTCCAAAACTATTTTCACATAAAATTTACTTAGTCAATTAACATCTTTCTTTTCATTTTAACTTTAAACTTCATATTCTACATCACATATTTTAATCCTAGGCCTATCTGATATTTGCAAGTAATTCTATTTAGATTATCTTAGCATATTTAACTAGATAGTCTTTGAATTTCTTCCAATCTTGAATTTCTTCCTCTTGGTACTCCTCCTCCTTCTGGTCGTGGACTCTTGCGGTCAGGTTGGCTAGCTCCGAAAAATCCATCATCTTCATCTGCCGTTCCTCCACTGTTGGTACTTCTTGTGTTTTCCAGTTTTTGGCCAGCAAAATTCTAACAGCAGTTGTGGCATACAAAAACAATCTGACATCTTTCTTGGGGAAGTCTTCGCCTTGCTTTTGCTGCATCTTGTATTTTGTGTGTTTCTCATCAGGGGTCACCACACAGGTGCTGTTGCCTTACTTACTGTGCTGTGATCCTAGAATCATAAAATTGTAGAGTTGGAATGGTTTCAAATCTTGCTTTGCTTTGGTGTAGTTTAGTCGTTTAGTCGTGTCCGACTCTTCGTGACCCCCTGGACCAGAGCACGCCAGGCCCTCCTGTCTTCCACTGCCTCCCGCAGTTTGGTCAGACTCATGCTGGTAGCTTCGAGAACACTGTCCCACCATCTCTGTCATCCCCTTCTCCTTGTGCCCTCCATCTTTCCCAACATCAGGGTCTTTTCCAGGGAGTCTCTCTTCTCATGAGGTGGCCAAAGTCTTGGAGCCTCAGCTTCAGGATCCGTCCTTCCAGTGAGCACTCAGGGCTGATTTCTCCGCGTTCTCTTTTCCCTCTTATGTGCCCAAAAGGAGCCTGGGGCTAGACTGGGAGGCCCCGCAGCTCCACCACACTGGTCCATGGAAGCCATCTGCAAACTACGGCTTCAGGTCCTGTTTGCTTGCTTTTGGTGGTAAACAAACCATAGTTCAGCTACTGTGTGTGCACAGCACTTAATACTAAGCCGTGGCTTGATAAACCATCGTTTCCCTCCTCCTTCCTTTTTTCCAGGCGATGGAGAGCAAGTTGCTGATTGGCGGAAGGAACATCATGGACCACACCAACGAGCAGCAGAAGATGCTGGAACTGAAGAGGCAGGAGATTGCAGAGCAGGTAGAGAGACGGGCAGGGCGGGAGCAGGGCCAGGACCAGTAACAACCCCTCCTGCCTTTCCTCCCCTCTGCTGGCTGATGAATGTGGCCCTCACCAGCCCACTGCAGCCATAGCTGGCGGCCCTTTAAAACACACCTGTCCCCTTCCTTCCAGGGCTCTGCAGGAGAGAAGCAGAGCCTAGGTGCTGGGCTGCAGTCCGCAAGCCCTTGACGGCGGCCATCTGTGGCCGTTGGGTCTCCAGTTTGCTCCCCTTCTTGTAGGCTGCAAATCTGGCGTCACTCCCCCAGGAGCGTGGCCAGGTGCTCAGGACACCTCGGGCGTAAAGCCAGCATATGCTGATGTCAAGGAGCCGTCAAGTGAGCCTAGGTCATCTACAGGGCAGGAAAGAACGGGAGGCACGTTTAGCTTTTTATTAACAGGGAAAAAACCTGAAATTTTCGCTCTATAAGATTCACCCGTCTTATAGGAGGAAAACAAGAAAAAAAATATTCTGACTCAAATGTTGTTGAAGAAAGCAACACAAAGCTTCAGTGAAAGCAGCGCAAAGCCTCTTCAGAACTCTCCCGCTGCACTGAAGAGGCTTCGCACGGCTATCCCAGAAACCAGAGCAGCAAGAGGGAGCGCTGCGCAGCAATCCCTCTTGCCGTTCTGGCTTCTGGGATAGCCGTGCAGCCTGCATTCGCTCCATAAGACGCACACACATTTCCCCTTACTTTTTAGGAGGGAAAAAGTGCGTCTTATAGAGAGAAAAATACGGTATCTCATCTTAATCCAGTTGAGATGTTGCTGAAACTGACCCCTGGCCCTGCCCTCCCCACTCTAGCCTCTCCCTCTGGACCCCTCCCAAGCAGACGAAAGTTGTGTCCAGAGGGCGAGATCCTCCTCTGTGCCTGTCCGGCCCTTTGCTCAGCAGTGTGCAGGACTCTCCTCGATTGGGGTTTCAGGGAGAAGAGAGCCTGTGGGGCCGAGACTGCCCTCTTTCTGGGCAGCAAGGACAACCTTGGACTCGCCTCCGTCTGAGTCTGCACTCACACTCTGACTCTCAGCCTCCAGTCCTGTCCTGGAAGGGTCTCCTACTCCTGACCCCCCTTGATCACCCACTTCCCTGCTTCTAGAACAGCCTTTCTCAACCTGTGGGTCCCCAGATGTTGTTGAACTACAACTCCCATCACCCCTAGCTAGCAAGGCCAGAGCTCAGGGATGATGGGAGTTGTAGTCCAACAACATCTGGGGACCCACAGGTCGAGAAAGGCTGTTCTAGAATCTCCCAGCTTGTCCTTTCTCCAGGCTGCTCCCCAGTGTCCCACCACCAGGGTCCGGGGTCTAAGTCCTCTTCTTCTGTGTGTCGCCTGTGGGGCTCTTGGGTAGGAGACCTCCCCCTCTTCCTCCTCCTCCCAGGCCCTGACAGCTGATATGTGGGCAGGTGGTAATAATAATAATAATAATAATAATAATAATAATAATAATAATATTTAATACCCCATCCTCGCCGGCCAGAGCCAGACTCAGGGCAGCTAACACCGATAAAATCACAGTAAAAACATAATAGGGGGAAAAGGGGGGGGGGAGGAAAAGGGAAAAAAACCCAATTTAAAATACAGGTTAAAATGCAGCCTCATTTTAAAGTAGCTGATAAATCAAGACCATAAGGGGAGGGCAACATAAGGGTCAGACCGAGTCCAGACCAAAGGCCAGGCGGAACAGCTCTGTCTTGCAGGCCCTGCGGAAAGATGTCAAGTCCCGCAGGGCCCTGGTCTCTTGGGACAGAGCGTTCCACCAAGTCGGGGCCAGTACTGAAAAGGCCCTGGCCCTAGTTGAGACCAAGCTAACCACCTTGTGACCTGGGACCTCCAAAGTGTTGTCATTTGTGGACCTTAAGGTCCTCTGCGGGGCATACCAGGAGAGGCGGTCCCGTAGGTACGTGGGTCCTAGGGATTTAAGGTCAAAACCAGCACCTTAAACCTGACCCTGGACTCCACCAGAAGCCAGTGCAGTTGGTAAAGCACTGGATGAATGTGAAGTTTGCGGGTGGAAGGTTGTCTTGCGGCACACCCAGCTCCCCCACCCCCAGGCAGCGTGTTTCAGAATGAAAAGGCACGGGTGAGGGTCCGCAGGTGGGGGGTTCCAGCTGAGAAGCCCCTGACCCACACAGACTTTGCTGGGCTCAACCCACAGAAGCGGCGGGAGCGTGAGATGCAGCAGCAGGTGCTCTTGCGGGACGAGGAGACCATGGAGCTGCGGGAAACGTTCACCTCCTTGCAGCAGGAAGTGGAGATCAAGACCAAGAAGCTGAAGAAGGTGAGCGGGGGGGGGAGCGTGGCCAGAGGGGGCGGCGGGAGACGGGGGGGTCCCTCCTTCTCCGTAGCTGCAGTCCGAGGCACAGCGCAAGAGCCCAGGTCAAGGCTTCGCTTGCCAGGGATCGGGACCCAAGCCAGATAAATTTTTCTCAAAAAATATTTTTTTCTACTTTTCAAATTTATACATTTCATTAGTTTTACACTGAACATTTCAAAATTTGATTTCCTTCCCCCTCTTTCTGTGGTTCCTTAAATTTATTTTTTAATATCTTCTGCATATCCAAATTAATTTAACTTGCTCATTTAATTATAAATGGATGCTTATAAAACTGCAGGTTGTTGCAATAATCCTGCCAATGTTTCTTTCTGTAAATATTGAATAAACCATTTCCGTTCTTTTATAAAAAGTCTGCTATTTGTTTGTTATTTCTTATTCTTCTGGTAAGTTTTGCCATTTCTGCATATTCCATAAGTTTCAGTATCAATTCTTCCTTTGCTGGGACTTCTGCTTCTTTCCATTTCGTGGCAAGTGACATTCTTGCTGCTCTAGTAGCATACATAAATAAAATTCTATGCAATTTAGGTAGTTCTGTCCCTATAATTCCCCAAATAAAAGCTTCTGGGTTGTTGTTGTTTTTTTGTAATAAAAGTTATTTTGAACATCCTTTTCAATTCATTATATATCATTTCCCGGTAAGCTTTAACCTTGCGACAAGACCACCACATATGATAAAAATAACCTTCTTTCTCTTTACATTCCCAACACTTATTTGATTTAGATTTATACATTTTTGCCTATTTACTCAGTGTTAAATACCATTGATATATCATTTTCATATAATTTTCTCTTAGACCATAACACGCTGTAAATTTTATATCCATATTCCACAATTGTTCCTGTGCTTCCATGTCTAATACCTATTGTCCAATGTATCACTGAGGATTTTACTTGCTCATCCTTTGTCTCCCATTCCAATAATATCTTATACATTTTAGACAACACTTTTACATTGCATTCCAACAGATCTCTCTCCTGTTGTGATATTTGTTCCCCAAACCCTCGTATCCTATCTTTCTTAAATACTTCATTCAAATGATGATATTGTAACCATGTTGTGAATTTCCCAGATAATTCCTTAAATTTGATTTGTACTCTGCTTCCTTCTTGCTTTAATAAATTTCTATAAGTTGTCCGCTCTTCTGTCAATTTGGCCTTCAGTGCCAGTGGCGGCTTGTGGCACGGTGAAGGGCACATTGAACGGGCCATTGGATGGCAGTGGCACAATGGCCATTACCCTAACTGCCCATGGACTGTATGGAACTTGCCGAACTGACCAGAGAGAAGAGACGGTGGAAGAAGACTGGAAGAAGTTTAAGGAATATTTGAAAAAAATATGTTAATATTTAAACCCTAGAATAGCTTTGGAAGTGGATATAGGCTGTAGGGTTAGAAGTAGAAGATAGGATTTTTTAAAAATAGTATTATTTGTAAGTGACAAAATGTGAAGTATGATTTTTAAAAAAAATGGTTAGAAATTATGATATATGTAAACCGCTAAAGATGAAGTAAAATGAAAATCAGATAGGTGGGACTTGGGGAAGTCAACTTAACAATGTTTAGAAAACATTGGGATATGACAAGAATTTGTTCGTATTGTTTGTCTTTTCTGCCTGTGTTTTTTATTTGTGTTATAAAATGAATAACATTTTTTTTGGAAAAAAATAAATAAACGAGCGATGCCCCTTTTTCTCGCCCCGACAGCTCTATGCAAAACTCCAGGCTGTGAAGGCTGAGATCCAGGACCAACACGACGAATACATCCGCGTGCGGCAAGACCTGGAGGAGGCACAGAACGAGCAGACGAGGGAACTGAAGCTCAAGTGAGTTTTCAGCAGGGCTCAGCCGGCAGCAGCAGCAGCAGGGGAAGCCCAGCCCAGGAGGAGCCCAAGCCAAGGTTGCCCCCACCTCCTCCTGCTGCCCCTGCCTCTCTCAGGGGCTGGCGGTCTGGAGGCCTGAGGGGGTGGGCAAGTGTGCCTCAGGTTGGGGGAGCCAAGCCAGAGCCCGCAGCCTTTTAGGAGCAGGAGGGACTCTACAGTGGCACCTTGGTTCTCAAACGCCTTGGTGCTCAAACAACTTGGAACCCAAACACTGCAAACTGGTTTGCCAACTTTTTTTTGGGAAGCTGAACATTTGAGTGCTACGCTGAGGTCTGTCGGTTTTTGCTGTTTACTTTGCGTTTTTGTTTTTGCGGCTCTTTTTCATTTTGTTTTTGTGACTGTGTGGAACCCAGTTCAGCTACTGATTGATTGATTGATTGATTGTGTGACTGCAGTACAGTGGTACCTTGGGTTAAGAAGTTAATTCGTTCCAGAGGTCCGTTCTTAACCTGAAACTGTTCTTAACCTGAAGCACCACTTTAGCTAATGGGGCCTCCCGCTGCTGCCATGCCACCGGAGCACAATTTCTGTTCTCATCCTGAAGCAAAGTTCTTAACCTGAAGCACTATTTCTGGGTTAGCAGAGTCTGTAACCTGAAGCGTATGTAACCTGAGGTACCACTGTCCATTGTTGATTGCTTTCATTTTATGGATCAATGGTCTCGTTAGATAGTAAAATTCATGTTAAACTGCTGTTTTAGGCACTGCTTTTAAAAGTCTGGAACAGATCAATCCACTTTGCATTACTTTCTATGGGAAAGTGTGCCTTGGTTTTGGAACGCTTTGGTTTTGGAACGGATTAAGTTTGAGAACCAAGTTACCACTGTATTGGCCCTTAGCGTTACCTGAGCCCCATCCCTAAACTGGACGCTGCAGTATCTTGTTCTGGCCACCTATGGTGGGGGCGCTGGAGGGCAGCAGGTGGTAAACCTGGTGTGAGGAGGAAGGTGAGGGGGTTGACTTGTCATCTCACCTTGCTGGGCCCTGGGATGAGATGTCAAGGGCTCTGAGTAGCAGTGTTGGGATGGAGAGAGGCGGGTGTCCCTGGAGGGGGCAACAGAAAGAGATGGCTCCGGAGGAAGGGGTCTGTAGGGAGGACTTGAGGAAGACAGGGGAGCCAGCAGGATCCCGAGAGAGGGGGATGTTGCTGCTGCTGCTCTTCGAGTGAGGGTGGAAGGTGTTTTGAAGACCAGCTTGACGTCTCAGTGCAAATGGGGACAGACTACTTTAGCACAGCTCCTTGTTGCAGGAATGATTGCTGGGTGTGGAGCACACTTCCGCCCGCGGGCAGCCTCAGCTGTCTGTACACGTGACCTTGGGGTGCGGAGCACACTCCCCCCCCACACAGACAAAGCCACAGCTGTCTGAACATCATGCCCCCTATCTAACCTTTGCTCTCTTAGTGGTCTGTCTGTGACCTATGTCTCCTTCGTCATACATGGTTCAAGGGGAAACTGACGGGGTGGAAACAGGTGCCAAAATAACTTTGTACCACCCCATGATCTCGGGATTGGAAGATGTGTAAAGGTCACAGTCCAAAATGTATCTGACCGGTTTTGCATATTGTGCCAATAAAAGGAGCCTCCACAGAGCTGGCCGGCAGCTTGCTCCTGCACAGCTCGCCTGCTTTACCAACTCCTACCTCATGTCCTTCACTTCACTTGTAAGGGATGTCCTAAAATGTGAGAACACGAAGAGAGCCTGGCAGCTGGATCTGGCCCATGTAGTCCAGCATCCTGTTCTCACAGTGGCCAACCAGATTCCTACACTGGTATGACCAGTTCGCACCTTTCAGAACAAGTGGTAAAATAGATCCACTGTCGCTCGCTCACTCACCCACCTGTTTTCATCGGCCCCCAAGCTGTCCCCACCTTCTTTCTCTATCTGTGTGGGAATAAATAAAAATCTGATATCCCCACGTGGGCAGACCCACCACTTCCCTCGGCAGCCTGCCTCCTGCTGACGCTGCCCATTCCATCTTTGCTCAGGTATGTGTCAGGAGCTCGTCCTCCTCTCGAGTAGGACCTTGGCAGAGATACATGCCCGACTGGCATGTTCCCTCCCTCCTGGTCGATCGTTCGGGAGCCTCAAAAGCTTTCTTCTGCCCGAACATCACAGCAACCGATGCCAACAGACATCGGCACACTTAGGGATCCGCAGTCTTCGCAGCTTGCATAACAGATCTCAGCAACTCAGCATTTTGGCTAATCAACTTTATTTAAATCTAAACCCACACGGAGCACTGCAACATGGCTCCCTCTCTCTCTAGCATCAGACAGCAAGAGAAAAAAGAACAAAGGACAACAGTCCCACTTCACGGAACACAGGAACACAAACATCCTGTCTCCGTCACTTCCCACTCTGTGGAGTCAAAACATATACTGTCATGTGATAGACAAAAATCCCATGACTGCAATCACGGAGCAGGAATTCTAACAGTTCCCACCTTTCAGAACAAGTGATAAAATAAATCCACTGTCGCTCACTTAGTCACCCACCTGTTTTCATCGGCCCCCAAGCTGCCCCCACCTTCTTTTTCCAGCCGTGTGGGAATAAATAAAAATCTGAAACCCCCACGTGGGCAGGACCCCCCCCCCCCGCTTCCTTCGGCAGCCTGCCTCCTGCTGACGCTGCCCCTTCCATCTTTGCTCAGGTATCTGATCATTGAAAACTTCATCCCCCCCGAAGAGAAGAACAAAATCATGAACCGCCTTTACTTTGACTGCGAGGAGGACCAGTGGAAATTCCAGCCCTTGGTGCTCACGCCAGGAAGGTGAGTTTCTGAGCCCTCGACAAGGGCAGAACTGCTCTCTGCCCAAGCAATCCCCCCCCCCAAAAAAATCACCTGGGTTCCTCAGCTGGAGCCATGACAGTTGAGCAGATACCAAGTTCATCTAGCACAGACAGTAACCCAAATGAGAAGCACCTCTGAGGACAGCCAGGAAATCCCAACCCTAACTTTTGTGATTGTTATATTTATTTATATTCCACCTTTGCCCCAGACTGGGACTCAGAGCGGCTTTCCTCTTCGGGCTCCGGCTCACGAGGAGACCTTCCCAGGGCCAAAGAGGATGTGGGGAGGGTCTCTTCACAAGCCACGCACCACTTGTGGGTTCCCAGCGCCATGCAAGTAGATTGCGTGCAAGAGGGGAGTTGCCTGCATTCACATTTTGTATTTATTTCTGTTGTGAGCTGCCTTGGGATCTTTGGATGAAGGGCGGTGTACAAATTTAATAGTAATAATAATAATTTATTATTTATACCCCGCCCATCTGGCTAGGCTTCCCCAGCCACTCTGGGTGGCTTCCAACAAAATATTAAAATACAGTAATACATCAAACATTAAAAGCTTCCCTAAACAGGGCTGCCTTCAGATGTCTTCTGAATGTCAGATAGTTGTTTATGCCTTTGACATCTGGTGGGAGGGCGTTCCACAGGGCGGGCGCCACCACCCAGAAGGCCCTCTGCCTGGTTCCCTGTAACTTGGCTTCTCGCAGGGAGGGAACCACCAGAAGGCCCTCAGCGCTGGACCTCGGTATCCGGGCAGAATGATAGGGGTGGAGACGCTCCTTCAGGTATACTGGACCGAGGCCGTTTATTTAACAAATAATAGCAAATTTAACAAATAATAGCAAAATAATTAGATGGGGCAAGGCAGACGGGGAATCCTTTGCCCACCAACTCAGGCGCAGGGTGGCAGAGATGTGCCACGCATTAAGTGCTGATGATCCTGAGCCCAACCTGCGCCCATTCTCCATTCTTGGAAACCAATCTCTTTACAGCAGCAGCGGGAGCGGAAGCAACAGCCCCACCACCACCACGGCCACCCAGATGAAGAAGCGGCCAACCTCCGCCGTGGGGTACAAGAGACCCATCAGCCAGTACGCTCGCCTGGCCATGTCGATGGGCTCCCATCCTCGGTACCGGGTGAGCCGAGAGGACAACAGAGGAGAAGAAGGGAAGGGAGGGAGAAACGGGGTCTGGGGGAGGGAAGGGGACCCTGAGAGGACCGAACTTCCTGGTCGCAAAGCAAGCATGGGCACCACAGTTCAAGAAGGACACTGACAAACTGGAACGTGTCCAGAGGAGGGCAACCAAAATGGTCAAAGGCCTGGAAACGATGCCTTATGAGGAACGGCTAAGGGAGCTGGGCATGTTTAGCCTGGAGAAGAGGAGGTTAAGGGGTGATATGATAGCCATGTTCAAATATATAAAAGGATGTCACATAGAGGAGGGAGAAAGGTTGTTTTCTGCTGCTCCAGAGAAGCGGATACGGAGCAATGGATCCAAACTACAAGAAAGAAGATTCCACCTAAACATTAGGAAGAACTTCCTGACAGTAAGAGCTGTTTGACAGTGGAATTTGCTGCCAAGGAGTGTGGTGGAGTCTCCTTCTTTGGAGGTCTTTAAGCAGAGGCTTGACAACCATATGTCAGGAGTGCTCTGATGGTGTTTCCTGCTTGGCAGGGGGTTGGACTCGATGGCCCTTGTGGTCTATTCCAACTCTATGATTCTATGATTCTAAGCACCGCTCAGATGGACCGATGGAAAGTCTCGGGTCCAGAAAGAAACATCTACAAGGCAGCCAACAAGATTTTAAAATCCACAACACAAAAGCACCATATTTTCCCGTGTATAAGACTAGGTTTTCCCCCTTAAGAATAATGTCAAAAATTAAGGGGCATCTTATACACGGATACCCCCCCATTTCCTTAAATCTGGGTCCACAAAAATAGGGGCCGTCTTATAAATGGGGACGTCTTATAGACGGAAAAATATGACAAATAGCGATCAAAGCCGAGATAAGAATACAGTAAGTCTGAACATTGGTGGCCAAACACGGCCCTCCAGATGTTTTGGGACTACAACTCCTATCATCCCTGACCACTGGTCCTGTTAGCTAGGGGTGATGGGAGTTGTAGTCCCAAAACATCTGGAGGGCTGAGTTTGGCCACCACTGTGTCTTCTCTCCAGTAGCTCTTCCCAGTGATGGAGGACCTCAAAATAGGGGTGGCTCCATATGGGAGGAGTCCGGGACCTAGACCGTTTGGGTCAAAGGCAGCACCCAGAGGAAGCCCCCTTCCTTCTCCCTGTGGCTGCCATTTCGATGGCGCAAACTCATCTCAGGGAACTCTGTCCATCTCAGATTTGGAGGAAGGTTCATATAGATTTGTAGGGACACCATCTCCTAGGGCTGTGGCTACAGCAAATAGGCTTTACACAATGGTCTTTGTTGCCACAAAGGACTCACAATCTAGGCTAATTCATGGGGAATTAGCAGAAGGCAAAGGTTATCAGTATTTCTTTACGTTCAAGATGATTTGGGAAATCCTTCCTTTCTTTCTTTCTTTCTTTCTTTCTTTCTTTCTTTCTTTCTTCTCTCTCTCTCTCTCTCTCTCTCTTTCCTTTTTAAATTTTTAAAAAACATTTTTTATTATCTGTCAAATGTTGTTTTTGTCTCTTTTTTCAAGTTACATTTTCTACAGTTTCATTTCTTGAGACATTAGTGTTGCTTTAGGAAGAAAAGGGGGAAGAGGGGGCCATGATGAGCGAGAAGTATGTAAAATAACCAAGCAAGTATTAGGGAATCCCCTTTCTAAATCTCCTTCCTTGCAGGGGTATTTTTTAGCAGAGGTTGGGTGGCTATCCAGCCGGGATGCTTTAGGTGTGATTCCTGCCTTGCGGGAGGGGGGGAGGGGTTGGACTAGATGACCTTGGGGGGTCTCTTCTAATTCTACTATTCTGCAAATCGACAAGAGGACAAATCCCTCTTTGTATTTTTTGTGGATGTGTTGCATGTGCACCCTTTTCTGCGCCACCTCCTTGGCAAACTGGCCTCTCCTTTCTGAATTCCCTCCCTTCCCCGATTTCATCACAGGCTGAGAATATCATGTTCCTGGAACTGGACGTCTCCCCGCCGGCCGTCTTTGAGTTTGAGATCACACGGGACCCGAGTGAGCACGATCCACGGGCCCTGCACCTGGAGAGGCTCATGCGTCTCGACAGTCTCCTGGAGCGACCGGCGGCGTCGCGAGTGCGGAAGTCGCGGTCTTGGTGAGTGAGCAAGAGAGAGCGAGAGCAGCGATGGAGAAGGTTTTGTGGAGTGCTCATCTGCACAGCTGGGAGTGAATTTGAGGTGGAGACATTTTCCCACCAGGATGTCAGGAGTTCAGCCTACACCCGAGTAGGACTCTGGCAGAATCTGGGGCCACTGGAGAGGTTCCAAAGTATGGCATTAGCCAAGTAAGAAGGTTAAGAATGGGCCGCAGAGGAGGGCCGGTCAAGCAGTGGTCACCCAGGACCAGCATTTGATCTGTTCAGCTACGTGCCAACCAATCAGAAGAGCAGGCTGGGAATCAACCAGGTTCTGGGATGCCCTGCATAAACAACAGAGAACTTTGGGTTGACTTCTGGCCATTTCCCAGATTTGGGGGATGAACAGCTGCGAGCAGACATTTTCACTATGTTCTCTCTCTCTCCGGCAACGGAGAAGTTAAGGCTGCTGAGTAGGGGTCAGCAAACTAAGGCCCCCAGGCCGGATCAGGCCCACCTGGGTCCTAAATCCAGTCCGCGTTGCGAAGCCGGAACCCGCCGCGAAGCCGAGACTCCCAGTGATGGCGATGGGAGGAAGAGGCCAAGCGGGGGCGGCTCTGCCAATCAAACGCCACACCTGGTTTACCTTAGCGGCGTTTGATTGGCAGAGACGTCTCTGCGCCGCGCGGAGGTAAACCAGGTGTGGCGTTTGATTGGCAGTGCCGCCACTGCTCAGCCACATCCTCCCGCCGCCGCCGCCCTGGTGCTCCTGTGGGCCAGAGAGCGGAGCGGACGAGCTTGCGCTGCCTACTCGCTTCTTGAGAAGTAGCGGCAGTGGCGGCAGTGGCGGCAGTGGCGGCAGCGCCTTCTTTCTCTAGGCGGGGAAGAAGCCTGTTTCGTGCCACCGCCACCAGCCCTTTGGCGAATGAGGCAGGTGGCACACTGAGAAGGTGGCTGGGGTGGGGTGGGGAGGAGGACTGCTTGCCCCCCTTCGCAGTGTGCATAGGAATTCATTTGGGTATTTAAAAATATATATATACAGTCACACCTCATGTTACATCTGCTTCATGTTATGTTCTTTCGGGTTACGTCCCGTGGCGACTCGGAAGGGTTACTTCCGGGTTTCGCCGCTCAAAGCGCAAAATGACATCACGCGCATGCGCAGAAGTGGCGAATCCGGCCCTCTACAAGGTCTGAGGGACAGTGGACTGGCCTCTTGCGGAAAAAGTTTTCTGACCCCTGCTGCTGAGTCTGGAGGGGCTGTTGGTCTGCCCGGGGTTCTTCCACAATGGGAGGGGGAGCTTGCTTGAGGGACGTGGGGCATTTGGGCCGGCAGGGAAGAAAGAGGGCAACACGGACCCACACTTATCCCCTCCTTCTTGTCTCTCTCTCCTGCAGGTGCCAGGCTCCTCGTTCCCTGCCGTCGTCGACGACGCACGTGTCCCTTGCCTCCAGCTCACAGAACGCTGCCACAGCACTGGCTCACGAGTAACAAGGCCCCGTTGGCCCTCCCTGGCCCTTCCTTTCGCACATGGAGGATGAGGCTCCTTCTCCCGTCACCTGCTGCCTCGGAGGACACGTGGTCCAGGGAGAGGGGTCCCCCTGCACTAACTCATCTTTGTCCTTAGCTACTTCTTGTGTGTGTGTGTGTGCGTGTGTGTGTGTCTCTGTGCATCCAAACGGGAGGATGGTTCCGGGGGGCCCGTCCCCCCGCTCTCTCTGGACTGTCGCTCTATTTATTTAACATATTTATTTATGATGTGTCTTTGTACGGATGCTGGGGGCGGGTTCTTCTTTGGGGCCAAGCAGCGTCCTCAGTGCCAGCTGCTCCCCTGGCAATGTTGGGGCAGCCTGGCACCACGCACAACCTTCCTAGAAGGCGGACTCTTGCTTTTTCTTCACCCTGTCGACGTTCTGAGCTCAGTACGGACACCTGTTTGGGGCAGGCGGAGCCCAAACCAATTGCACTCGGCTCCCAGCCCCCTCTGTTCCCTCGGAAGAAGTCGCTGCCTCCTTGCAGTGTCCCCTATGAGGAGTGTTTGGTCGGTGCTGGCAGAGCTCGGAGGCAGGATTCGACCTCCTTGCCAGCCACGGAATCCTCTCTGCTCTCGCACCAAGACCATCGGCTTCGCCTTGCCTTCTGTTCACCCAGCCAAAAAACACACCAAATGGCTCCACGCTGCACAGCGAGAGCCTGAGGACTGATTATGCAAGCAGATCTGTGAGCCGTGATGCTACGAGACCTTCTCACCAGCACCACTGGCTGGGGGCCCCCGCTTGACCCACCAAGTGACTGCAATGGCCCACATGGTGGACATGTTGCATATTCCCTCTCCAGGACAGGAATCATCCATATTCTGACTGGGAAGAGACGTCCTGAAGTCAAGAACCAAGCATGTGCCTCACATGGGGAGAGAGGAGAGGGCCCCGCTCCCCTGAGAGAGCAGAGGGAAGGGCGCCTCTTGAGTTTTGCTCGAAATTCATGGCTCTCTCAACGGGGACAGGCAGCTTTGACGCAGCGTCCAGCTGCTGGCAAGGACCTCCTGGGGCCACGTTGAGGTCAGGAGGGGAAGGCAGAGAAATCAAAGAGAAAGGGAGGGAAGGGCAAGGCGGAATAAACACCCCGCCACCACCAAACCCGACCCTCACGCCCCCGGCCTTTTCCTCATGGTCAGTGTCTCTCTGCATAAGTGGCCCTTTGGCTTCTAGTCAGTTAGCTTTGTGGCTGCCCCTAAAATTGGCCTGGGAATTTCCTAGAAATAAGCAAAACTCTGGTTTCATCTGCTTTCTCATGGGGAAACCACTCTTTAGTGCTCAATCGGAACCAACGGCAATCTTCTTGTTCCGATTTGAGGCTAAAGAGTGGGGTTTTTTCCTGGGAAAGGAGAGGGAAATGGCTGAGACTTTGCTTTCTAGGCAAACAGAAGTGTTGATGAGCCTTCTCTCTGGGGGAAAGTCCGCAGGCTGCATTTAGCTAGGGGAGATGGAGAGCGCTTGTTGCCTGGTGTGATAGTTGCCAGCACGCCGTTGCCACCAATCCTCGTGTTGCTGCTCCCAAAGACACCCCCAGTTGCCTGGGACTCGGCCACAAGCATGGGCAGCAAACGGAGAAAGGTGTGAGAGCACGAGAGCAAAGGCGATGGGATGGCCAGGAGGTCAGTGGGAAAGGTTTGTTGGGCCACCTTTCTTTGAGAGAGGGGAGTGGCAGAGTTTCGCAGCGCTCTGAATGATCCGCCCTGTGCCTGCTGCAGCTTTTGTAGCAGGAAGACTCTTCCGCTCTCCAAGACCAGAAACCAGAGGAGGAAAAAGGAGGGACTTGGTGAAAAGGCGGCTGTGGCACTGAGCTAGGAGCTGTGGCTCAGTCGGCACAGACACCTGCTCTGGGTGCAAAAGGTCCTGGGTTCAGTCCTTGTCATCTCCAGGAAGGGCTGGGAGAAACCATGGACAACCAGGGATGGCAGTTGGTGCAGACCAGATTGATCTCAACGAAGCAGTGGTCTGATTCTGTCGACGGCAGCTTCTGATGTTCCTAGCTGGGCAGTCAGCCTGAGAGAGCGCAGCCTGAAGCACTGGGGGGCCGTCCAGTCTGGGGTGTGGCTACAGATCCCCCTCGGTCAGCCTGACTCCCCGAGTTTCCTTCTTGCCGCTCTAGTCCTGGCCGAGGATTCTGCAGCTTCCTCATCTCTCGTTTACTCTGGAGCCAGCCGCAAATAATAATAATAATTTATTATTTGTATCCCGCCCATCTGGCTGGGTTTCCCCAGCCACTCTGGGCGGCTTCCAACAAAGATTAAAAATACATTAAAATGTCACACATTAAAAGCTTCCCTGAACAGGGCTGCCTTCAGATGTCTTCTAAATATCAGGTAGTTGTTTATCTCTTTGACATCTGGTGGGAGGATGTTCCACAGGGCGGGTGCCACCACCGAGAAGGCCCTCTGCCTGGTTCCCTGTAACGTGGCTTCTCGCAATGAGGGAACCGCCAGAAGGCCCTGGGAACTGGACCTCAGCGTCCGGGCAGAATGATGGGGGTGGAGATGCTCCTTCAGGTAAGTCCCTGCGACGGCTAAAGGGAAGGTAGCAGGACAAATTATTGCCCCCCATATGAGACCCCTCTTGAATGAAGCAGGGATTCGGATCCACGCCTGGTGGTTGCGAGTATGGAATTTGGCTGAGGGTCGTTCCAGGGGGCGGAGCAGCAGCAGCAGTTATTCCCAACTCCTGGATGCAGAACAGGGGGGGGGGGGCTTGAGTTTGTGGTCTCTGCTTCTGAAAGGCACAAACCGCCAGAAGGTGCGTGGGAAGGGGACTCTGCAAGCTGCTTTTGGGCAAGGGAATAGAAACGGCCTATTTTCTATGCTATGGTTTATTTATATACCGCTTTTTAACCCAAGGCTCCAAAAGCAGCGAACAACAATATATATTATTAATATAGATAAAATATATACTAAAAGTACAATGTACCTGGAAAACTCTCGATGCAGAAAAGGCTTTCCAGAGGTGGTCCGGCAGGAACCGTCTTGCTATGCAGTTTAACAGTGTGTTATGCCCCTTGGTCCCTGACCGGCTGCCCTGGCTGCTCCCAGCCCATTCTGTGGACCGGCTGCTTGTAGGAGCTGCTGGCCCTCCAGAGATGCTGAGCTGCCATGATTTGTTGGGGTCTTGCACATGGCTGGGGAATTAATAGTGCCTAGTAGCAGCAGAGAAAGCTGTGCTATAGGGACTATAGGAACAGAGGAAGCTGCCGTACACCAGGCCAAACCATTGGTCCATCTGCCTTTGTACTGTCTTCATTGATGGGCAATGGCTCTCCAGGGTTTCTGACAGGGGTCTTTACCTGCCCTCAGTGCAGCTGGGGAGTGAACCTGAGACCTTCTGCATCCAAAGCAAAAGGATTGTCTTTCCTGTTGGACTGGAAGAAGTTCCTGGGCAGCCAGAGAGGGTCAGGGAGGCTGAATGCTTACAAAAGAAGATGCACTTCTGTCGTCCAGCAGCTGGAGGAAGGCCCCTCTCACTCCTTCACCTGTCTGAGAGTGGATTTGAATTAACTCTGCACTTCCTTGCCTTTGATTCCCATAAACTCAGAGATCTGTGCATGGCTCTGGAGGCAGGAACAAGCACACCCAGGGGAAGCTGCCTGGTTTACTTCACAGCACAACAGCCACACACACACTAAAGGGACAGCAGAGACTTCTGAAGGCCAGCCCCACGTCTAGAGGAGCACCTGAAGGCTCAGCGGAGCTTTTTGTCCTTTGTTTACCGTGGGTTAGAAAAGTGTGCTTTCTGGAGATCTGCCAGAAGAGAGGAGATGCGTCCTTCCCAGTTTCAAAGGCTAAAGACATTACTTCTCCCTGAGGAATTGTTTTCTACAGCACCACAAAGACGAGAGCAGCCATCGCATTGGGAACTACAATAGAACAGAATTATTTCCATTCAGCCTGGATGGGAAATGGAGGGTCAGTGTGTTGCGGCCGAGCGACGCCTCCTGCGCTACATATTTTGGCTTTGGGGAGTTGGAGGTGTCACTGGGAAGTTAACCTCACTCACCACCCCCCCACCCACCGGTGGTGGTGCAAACAAGGGGTCCAACAAGCTATACTTTTTACGCCAAAGCCTGCCATTTCCTCCTGCCATGTACTTTGGGAGATCTCTCACACTCTGCGTTCCTCAATCCACCGCTGTGCTGCCAATAACCTCCAACGTCCTTCCTAGCACAAAACTCAAGGACAGCTGTAAAGAAATACTGTTATTTAAGACAGGAGCCAGTTCCCATTGGCGGAGGGTCTCTGTACAAGGGGCTGTGCCAACCTCAGATGTAGATTTCTGATGTTCTTTGTTCTTTGTATGTTGGTGAGTCTGTATTTACATATGAATGTGTGTGTTGGGGGTGTGTATGTGTTGTGTGGCTGCTTGTGGGTGTCCCGCCCAGGGAAACTGTGGAATTTGCGCTAATGTGGGGGCTGGAGACTGGGGGGAATTCCAGAGTGGGGTGGAAAGTGGGAGGGACTTGGTTGGTCAGCAAGACAAGGGCCTAGACTGGGACCAAAATCGTCTGTGCCTGTTGCTGTGGTGGTGATTTACTTAGGAAGTCAAAAGTCGGTATACGGTGGTGGCCCATGCTTGTTGCTCTATACATATGAATATACAGGACATATTAAGCATAGTTATATTATACATAATGTACTGGCAGAGGTTGTTGTCCCACACCCCCTCTGGTTCTGGGTGGAGAGCTCTTCACTACCCTTGTGACGTCGCTTTGATTTGGTGTGGGCCTGGACATTGTGGTGGCAGCACCGTTCCAAAAAGCCCAGCCCTGACAATAAAGGAATGAGCATTGTTGAAAAAGGAGACCCGATTCATTCATTGGCATCATTCCTGACTTTTTTTTTGGGGGGGGACACTTGCCCTAAACTATCCCACCGTGGTCAAATCTGACCTCCATAGTAGAGCCCCACTCACAAGCCGGAAAAGGTCCAGGCCAGCAGAGAAAGTAGATGCTCAGGACAAACAAACAGCAGCAGAAAAAATGCGGGGCTGGTTGGGGGAGCATGACGAGAAAGCTCCAAAGTCTGCAGTTTATAACGATGAAAATAAAAGTGTGTGAGCTAATTAAAGAGATTTCGGATTGTGTCTGGCTGTTTCTTCGTCACGGTGGCTGGCTGGTCTTGCGAGTCTTTATTGGGAATCTTCTGCCCCCCCGCCCCCCCCATTCGCTTCCCAGAACAGGGGCATCACAGTGCTGAGCTTTGATGAACGCGGAGCAAAGATTGGCAGCATGTCTGGAAGACACGGGGGAATTTGCTCTGCCATCAGCTGGGCACGTTATTCCCAAATGTCCAGGAAATAGCATGCAAAAAGCTGGCAGGCTTCTTGATGGATGGGGTTTGGCATGACGACATTTGGAGGGCCACAGGGCACCCCCCCCTTGCTAGAACTCCTCCTCTTGATCAGGTGTCATGTTTGTTTAGGCATCATGTTATCCTGCCTTTCCTCCAAAGTTCTCAGGTGAAATACATGGCCTGCCCCCTATTTATTCTCACACCAACCTGGTGAAGCAAGTTGGGTTGACAGACGATGTCCATGAATATTGTAGCTGAGTAAAAGTAAAGGGACCCCTGACTGTTAGGTCCAGTCGTGACCGACTCTGGGGTTGCGGCGCTCATCTCGCTTTATTGGCCAAGGGAGCCGGCGTACAGCTTCAGGGTCATGTGGCCAGCAGGACTAAGCCGCTTCTGGCGAACCAGAGCAGCGCACGGAAACGCCGTTTACCTTCCCGCCGGAGCGGTACCTATCGATCTACTTGCACTTTGACGTGCTTTCGAACTGCTAGGTTGGCAGGAGCAGGGACCGAGCAACGGGAGCTCACCCCGTCGCGGGGATTTGAACCGCCGACCTTCTGATCGGCAAGTCCTAGGCTCTGTGGTTTAACCCACAGCGCCACCCGCGTCCCACATTGTAGCTGAACAGGGATGCAAAATCAAGTCTTCCTCCTCCATGTCCACCACCCCGAGCTGGATGGATCGGTGGGTCTTGCTCAGCACAAGCCAGCTTCCTGCGGCTCAGGACTCCACCTGCGCATCAGCAATGCAGCACAGTCGCCCCATCTAGCTGTGGCAGGGCTGGTCTCCTCAGCAGGGATGACTCACCACCTGCCCCTACTTCTGTAGGGAGATCCAAGTTGGCTGCAACCCCCAAGAGGTTTCTGCTGGGTTTGATTTGCGACCTGGCAGCTGTCATCTTAGAAATGACACACCACTTGTGCCATTACTCAGCCAATGCTCCGCTTCTTATTTTTCAAAGAGGGAGGGAGGTGTTAGGTCAGGCCCATCAGATTTGGAAGGCCGAACCTTTTATCTCCGCTGCATGGAGGCGTTTCTTTGCATTCAAAACAAGTTCCGTGTCTTGAGTTCACGGCTGCTGTGCAGAGGGAACTTGGAATTACACGGCCAGCTATTCATCTCCTTTTGCTAGAGTTGTGAGGGCACCTAGTGGCCTTTCTCCTGCATTGCTTCTAGCATGCAAAATGGATGCACAGCTAAATTGCACACTGGGCTCCAAACAAGACTTTGACAGGCTACAGACATATTGGGCTGCTGCTTGACCACTGTTCCAAAACAATTCCTTCCACCACAGTGATGTCACCCAAATCCTCTGGGTTGATGTGTTTCCTAGATTTCCTGTGATATTGGGAGAAGGGGATGGGGTGTTCCACATGTTAGAATATTTCTGTTCCACCTTAAAAAGGGAACAGGCTGTTGTGTGTCACATGCCTGTTTACTTCCTGCTCACTGGGAGTTTCCATTTTGTATATAGCTTTTGCTCCGGCTGTTTTCCTGTACACGGAGGCAAGCAGTCATGTTTTTCCTTTGTTCTGATCAACGTTGAATAAAGCTGTAAATATGCTCTCCTGGCTGAATTTTCCGTTGTGGAAACAAAGCAGAAAGGGTGTGCACGAGTCTCGGAATGTGTCTAAGGCTCGTGTCGCTAATTGACTGATGCTGTTCTACGGGAGACCGGGAGACCGTCCGGAGACAATGTGGAGGCCTGCTTGATGTCTCCATCTCCCTGGCAATATCTCAACAACAGGTTATGGGCCCAGATTCACAGCACTACGGTCAAGGTCCCACAATTCCTTCCACCACAGTGATGTCACCCAAATATTCTGGGTTGATGTGTTCCTAGATTTCCTGTGATAATGGGAGAAGGGGATGGGGTGTTCCACATGCTCCAGGGAACCCCAAAGTGGGCAGGTAAGACATCAGACCCCTGGGAACACCTCCATGGAGGCTTTGGGTGGATG